GACATATGATAGAAGCAGGGCCTATTACAAATAAATCACATAACTTTATTGTTTGCCTTTAAATATATTTTTGACATTGATCTGTGTGTGAGACTGGCGCCAACGACTGCACCCCGAAAATTACCTGTGCCTTAACATTTAATCATTTAACAGCCGTTTGACAAACAAACAAACAAATAAATAAACATGTATTATTAATATAATAATAATAATAATTGAATTAGCCTATTCACACGCTGCTTGAAATGTGAGGGAAACGTGGGTTTTGAAGTTCACAGTCAAAAAAGACTTTTGATATGATGAATAGCTATAGCTTACCTCCGTTTGGTCCCCTGATAGACAGTGGTGCGCTTCTGGACTGCAGGGAATGCAGCATGGAGTTCTCGAAGGGCCCCGCTGGCCACGCCGCCGGTAAATGTGATAGCTGCGGTGCAACATACGGCGAATACGGGCTTGTGTAAGATCCACTTATTTGTCGTGACAGGTATTGGTCTCGACTGTTTACAGTCAGAGGATTCGTATAGCTGGTATCCCTCGATGTGCCGTTATTCGTAGGCGGACTTGGGGAGTAGTGGAAACGGCTGGAGGTATGTGGGCTTCCAGTGCTGTAGGACGGGCTCTCTGGTGCGGACTGTGACCAGACCGACTGACTGCTGACAGCATGGCTCGGCTGCGATGACACGCTGGGTTGTAGGTACGACAAACTCGGTATCATCGTTCCAACGCGAGACGTCGGCACATAAACTGGAGAATTAGGGTTGGAGTGCATGTAACCGGCCGGTGGCGTGTCGTTATAACCGGCCTGACTCTGGGCCGCGGCGATGGCCAGGGTCTGATACATGTCGGTAGGGTCCACAATTAAGCCTCCCTTATGCGTCTCCCTGGTGTGCCCACCTGAGATGATGAGTTTGTTACCCTGGTCTAAATCCGTGAAGAGTGTAACGTCGTCAGAATTGGGCAGGGCGTTGTTGGGATGGCCAAAGTGGACGTAGGAGTGTAGGGGCCTGCCCTCGGCGCGACGGGTTCCCACCGCGTCCAGGTGCGTCGGCGCCGGTGATCTTAGCCGGTCCCTTCGGTCAGTGTTCAGGTAGCTCTGCTCAGCCGGAGACCCCGGGCTGCTGCTGGACACTTCGCGCTTGACCATGGACCAGCTGTTATCACCCAGGTCCATCCAGGATCCCTTTTATAGCTCACAGTGTGTGGAAAATACAGAGGCAGAGTGCACTGAAAAAGAGAACATAATAATTTGAGAAACGTCGGGCTATAGAGAATACTAAATTAGAAAAAAAGAAAGAAACGAGAGAACGAAAATATGGTACTTTTAGACAATAAATGTCAAAGAGGATCTCAAACCATTAAGCAAATAACCAACTGTTAAAGTTTCTCCGAATCCTTACTGAGTTTTAAATCATATTCAATGAAATATGTTCAATTTTTCTTTTGTCGCGGAGGAACAGTTTCACTTCAGATAGCGCGTAATGGTACAAACTTTCTCAAATCATTCATAATTGTTTTGCCATCTTGTAATGTTCTAAATTTAAAAGTTAAGCTGCATGACGTGCAATACACACGACTTCACTATTCCCATAAACACATGCGCACGCACATACACACACACCCATACAGGGCTTTACACTGAAGATCTGAGTCCATCCGTGTCATGAGCCCGTCCTCCCTCTTGATGTAGCCTCATCATAATTACCAAAAAGAAAAGAAAAAAACACACAACGTAACAGATAGGAAACAAAACGTAATATGTATTTGCAGAAAAGAGATAACCACTTGATAAGACCCACAAAAGATAAGAGAGAGAGAGAGAGAGAGAGAGGCAGGGTAAAGAAAAAAAAATACTCGAAATTATTTAGGCTCTCCTCAGCTGGCATCGAAAACAGCACCAAGACCAGAGGTTTGAGAAAAGCTGGAGAAGACATTTATAATCAAGACAAGAATATGTGAAAAGAAAAAAAGTCACCACTGACCTATTGGTGGTTTGCCATAAGTCGGTGTTCGCAGGATCCAGCAGTTATGTGGTTGCAGGACTTGGAGAACTATTAGGAATGAAAGTTCTCTGTTCACTCGTGACGATGTTTAAGAGAGGAGGTGCCTCCTGTGCTCCGAGGCTCTGATTGGATTCCAGCTTGAGCAAACACATCTGCTCGACAGGGGTGCTGCTCTTCACTTTCCACCTTACTTAGTTTTGATGTCCTTGATTTCGAACGGAAAATGCGAGTCTTACAAATCTGACTTTTCTCGAAGGGACGGAACATTTTTAATTGCTTCAGTGGATTTTTTTTTCGGACAAACAAAATAGCCTATATATTTTCCCTAAAAGACAAGTACAAGTTGGTTGAAATTGTAATTTAACGCAATAGCTAATTTATAAGCGGTTCATAAGTGGTGTCATTCATTAATTTGCCAGCATAAACTATCGGTTTAATTTATAGCAGTTCTTTAAAAAAAAAAAAAAATAATTGAATAAGTATCCTATATACGGCTAGGTCTATATTACAGTTATGTAAAATGTAAGCGAGCAAAATACCTTTTCGATTACTAAATCCATTTCCAAATCTGAATGGTATCAAGCTCTTAGGAATAATATTTTATATTATAGTTTTATTGTGTAAAGGTTTGTGTAATGTAAGGGTAGTCACAATAACAGAACGATGAAATAATATATTCTTCTATTTGTTTTGATGTTGAACTTCATCTGTGCTATGCAAATTAGGCTCGTTGCTAATTAGTTCATCTAAGACGATGGGGCATCGTTTAGGATTGTAAGAGATCCTACACAAACACCCAGCGGGCAATAGGTATTACTGAATGCTTCACTTTGAACAGCTGATAATTAATTCAAGCAGAATATGCATTGTATTGTGACCTGATCAAGTATTGGAGGATGCCAATTAGAATAATCATTTTAAATTCGTGAGGGTCTCTGACTCTTTTGTTGTTCAGTTTATTCGATAACCAACACTATTTGAGTTATGGGTTGCTATTACATAATTGAGTTATATACTCATGTATGTTTTAAATAAAAAAAGTAATATTTATTTATGTTGTTATATTATTAACAATAGTTATAGTCTAATAATACAATGATAAATCATTTCCGAACAGTGTGTGTGTCAAAAACAGGTATCTGAAGCCGTTTTAAAAATGTTTTACAAGAAGAAGAAAACAAGTTGTGTATTGTTGTTTTATATTATGTATTTTAGGCAGTGTATTTCTTATTAAGGATTATTATTAAAATAATAACTTGTCACTGTATGAGAAAATTTTGACATGACAAAACATTTTTTCGTAGTCACTTGCAGCTCGAGTATTTGTCAATAAATTAGTACAGACGCTATAATTTATAAATAAAGAAATATATAGATATAGATATGCATCTGTGATAATTATTTAGAACTAATCGCAGTATAGACTATTTCCACTCATTAGCTAAGACTGTTAAAACAAATACAATAAACAAGTCGCATTGTTGTTAGCAAACAAATATACATCATCATCATCATCATCATCAACAACATTCTTTTTTTTCGTAAAACACAAAATCACAAATTAGCTAAATAAGACCTATCAACCTTACAGAAGCACTAAAGTGAGCTAAAGCGACAACTGCAATGTAAAGCTTCTGATTTTTACATATGGAATATTGCGAGTATGGGAGAAACGTATTTCAGAGAAGTGAGCAGTTGTCACACACATCAGACATATCACAGTTATCACTGCTGTTCATTGAAATAAGGAAAGCAACTTTAACGCCGCCGTCGATCAAAATAAACATGTTAAAAAACTGAACACCGGTATCGAAATCACAGTGTTACAAATTATTTACGGGAATAAATGCTTTCCCACAGTAGGCCTATATATGAAATATGTTAAACTAGCCTATTTATTACATGCTAGGCCACTAGAGAGTCTTTATCAGGCTGCCTCCGTGTACTTTGACCCCACAATGTAAAACAAATTCAACGAACACAATAGGGACACAATGTCTGTGCCATTATGGTCTCATAATCCAACAGCACTGGTCAATGATTTTAGCGACAGCATTATCATTTTAATTCTACATTATCATTATTAGTCGTTTGGGATTTGTTGTTGGTATTCCTTTTAAACTGTTTTCTTGGACAAGGCAATCAACTACACATTAAGTAAAACACTAGAGTTGACATATCCATATATGATTTGATAATACAGAATAATTTAACTAGTTTGCTTTCTGTCTAGAAAAAGCTAATAATTCAACGGTGCCATCAGATGATGTCGATTTGATTAGACAGCTTCCGCAGAGTAAAGGAAGAGTGTTTGCGAGTGGTCAGCGTCATATTAGATATTTGCTCATGGCTCATCAGGTTGCTTCAAACAATGTTTCTTGTAGACCAATCATTGCTAGATTCGTTTGCTTTGTGTTGTGCATAACTAAAGTTGTTGCCGCATGAATGATGATGAAGTGATCAAATACTCATTACCTTTGATGACAAATTGTAAGACAGGGTGTTGGCCTTTCCCTGGAAGACCAGTCATTGCGGACATTAAGTCACCACAGTGCTTAGTGTCCCACAAAAAAAAAAAAAAAATCCTACGTTTTAAATATTAATCTCCCAATTTATGTCTGATGTAGGCTATGAATTAAATATCAAAGGCTTTAAGATCTCAAGACTGTCAGGCTGACACTGGCAGTTTTTTTTTTTTTACTTCCCATTACATTAAATTTTGGCCTATTTACTTATGGTTTACAACAAATGTTATGGTTTTATGCCTGGCACTGCCTTCTCCAGTTGAACTAAAGGCCTGACTGTCATCTATTGAGAGGGACAGTCAGAGGCATATATGTTTCTGTTTGCAATAGTAGATGATTAAACGAGAATGTGTAAAAGCAACCTTTGTGTGTGTGTGTGTGTGTGTGTGTGTGTGTGTAAGGGTTTATATATGGGGGCGAGTGGGAGAGGCCTTGATAGTAAACCTGTTAACAACCTTCTCACAGATCTTCAGTCACACCCTGTTGGAGTCATGTTATTCACTACTGTGACAACTGTATTTCTCTTGCTCTCGCTCTCAACTGTCAGAGTAATTCAGCAGAAATACAGAAGCACTGTAGAGGAAGTTAGAAAGAACAATGTTGTATGTCTTTTGAGTCCTTTGTCAGTATTGTTGGTGTATAATAATAATAGTGGATATGTAAATAATTTTAAATGATTGTAGTATATATATATAATTAAAAATATACTTTTATTAAAAATATATATTTCTTGACATTTAGTGTATACACATGATTTTTAAATAAAATTGTTTCTATAGTTTTTGAATCGAATTGTTTCTACATCTAATGTTATTAAAATTAAAAGGTTGTCACATTATTTTGTTGCCACATTGTGTGAAAATGTAGTTATTAACAATGCACATTTACAGTATGGACTTTGAACTATTAGGCTCTCTGTGAGATGCCTCACTCTTTGAAATAACAACAAAAAAGTAAGAGCCCAGTTAGATACACACACACACACACACACACACAGAGAGAGAGAGAGAGAGAGAGTCAGAATCCAAACAGTTTTCCATGGGTTGTTAGGCAGTGAAGAGCCAAGAGCAGTCAAGCACAATAGATGACCTATGAAAGATGAGCTAGGATTACAGATAAGAGTCCCAGTCATTAGTCATTTGATTCAAGTGTTTAAGAAACTATTAGAACTGCACGATAGTTGATAGGGCCTGTCTATTCTCTACATACTCTAGATTTAATGATGACTGTTTTCAGAAAGAGGTCTGTTGATTAATCAAAGTTAAATCTACTACTACTATACTACTAGAATTTAGCATCATAAAATATTATTAAGAAAAGTACAGGCATTTTATTAGGAACAGCAACAAAACACTGCAACACAAAATAAAATAATATAATAATTATTAAATATTATTACATATTGTTAATATGATCAATAATAGCATCCCCAGCATCCTCGCTATCCTAGGAAAAGCCATTTGGAGATTGGATGGATCGATAGAGCTGCACATGATAATTGTTAGGGATTGTCTATTATATCCACCAGATTTAATGATGACTGGTTAGTTAGAGGTCTATTGTTTAAAGTTTAAAATTAATTTCTAAGACAACAACAACAACAATACTACTACTACTACTACTAATAATAATAAATCCAATAAAAAAGGTTAACCAAATATTATTTAAAAATTTTATTAGGAACAGCAACAAACATTATTTCACAATAATATAAAACATAACATAATTTTTGTTGTTGTTGAATACATGAATATCACAATAATGACAAAAACGTTTTTATACTGGTACAATATCAGTTATTTACATAAATATACAGGTTTAGTATCATTATAAAAACTGACACTATTTTTTCAAGTTTATTTGCTGTATTGTTTATGATTTCTAGCCTTTAAAAACGTATTACTTGGATTCACATGAAACCAAACTGACGGGTTCTGGAGCCCTTTTGTATGAACAGGATGATGTGCTCACACTACACAACACTGTGCTACATTTCAGTGTGTGCTTGACCTTTGAACTCTTCATGAAGATCTCAGAGTGAAATCAATATTGTTTAGCCACTGTGTGTCTGTATCCACTACTACTGCTGCCCTCCAAAAATAAAACGCGATGGAGTTAACGTTCTTTGAGCCATGTTGTTTTTTCCATACACCATCCAATCAGCGTCCATCCTGTTGGGCTGTGCCTGTGTTTTGTCTAGCGGGGAAGGTCAGCTTTGTGGGACAGACTGTGGTTTTCCCTGAATCAGCTGTTTTTAGTGGCAGTGGACGCTATCTGCTGTCTGTTCTGACTGACAGGCCTGAGATTTGGGCAGTCAAGCATGCTTGCTGCGGTCATCTTTTTCAAGATTATTGGAGTATGTTTCGCAAAGAAAATATTGGTAAACTATCTACTTTACTAATCTCACATTTAATTCAGTTTGTTACTTGCTGTTTCTTTGTTATTATTTGTGATAGTTACTAGCAATTTCGGAGTGAAAATAATTTCGAAGTAAATCCTACACCTTTTTTTCAGCTCAGTACAGTTTTGCATGGTATGTCGAAGGCAATGAGATGTAACTTCATAATCTTCTCAGACAATTCAATTGAATTTTAATATCATTAAAGAAATAGTTCACCTAAGAAGAAAATTTCCAAACCCATACGACTGTTTTATCTGTAGAAAACAAAAAGAGAAATTTTGAATAATGTACCTACTGGTCACTCTTTTCCATGCAATCCAAAAATGGGCACTGAAGCTTAACAAATGTCAAGATTGCCAGCTGAAGTGCTCTTGATAGCCACCGGAGGGCACTCCATACACCAAGCTCTGGTGGCCAAGGAGCTTGGCCCACCACAGTCACCTGCATTTCCTGTTATAATGGTCGTTAGTCCTGCGCTTTCAGCACCTTCCTGTCCTGTGGTTCCTATACCAGAGCCAGTTCACAACATGGATGCCGCAGCAGAGCCAGTTCACAAGATGGCCGCCAGTCCAGAGCCTCTCCACAAGATGGCCGCCAGTCCAGAACCTCTCCACAAGATGGCCGCCAGTCCAGAGCCTCTCCACAAGATGGCCGCCAGTCCAGAACCTCTCCACAAGATGGCCGCCAGTCCAGAGCCTCTCCACAAGATGGCCGCCAGTCCAGAACCTCTCCACAAGATGGCCGCCAGTCCAGAGCCTCTCCACAAGATGGCCGCCACACCAGAGTCTCCAGCCGTCATGGACATCATGCCAGAGTCTCCAGCCGTCATGGACATCATGCCAGAGTCTTCAGCCTTCATGGACGTCACATCAGTGTTCCCGGCCGTCAAGAACATTCCACCTGAAGCTAATAAGGCAGTGCCCAGGAAACCGATACTGATGTCCAGTGTGGCGGATCCACCACTAATGTCGGTGCAAGCGGCAGGCATCCCAGTGGTTTCAGCACTCTCAAGCCCGGTGATCTCATAGGTTCTGCCACCCTCCACTGCCCTTCCAGTAATGGCCGTCGCCATTTTGTGTGTCTGGGCTAGACACACTTCTGACGCTGTGGCGACACTCCAGTCCACGAGTCCATTCCACAGCCTGCTCCAGTCCTTGAATCAGCGCCAGAATCCACTCAAGCCCCAGAGCTCAGTCCTGTGTTGGGGCCAGCCTGTGAGTTCCCTGCCTGTCCTGTCTCAACCACAGAACCCAGGTAGCCAAAACGGTTTGGCCCGATGATGGCCCAGATCCGGCAGGCCGGATGAAATAACTCGGCCCAGCTGTGGTTGCCAGAGTCGGCATGGACATGGGATGAATGACGCCCCAAAATCGGCCCAAATACACTGGCCCGAGTCCGGCTGCCAAAACTGCCGGTATTGGGCCACAATCACGCCGACAAGAATTGACACACTTAGCCGGTACTGGCCAAAGTCTGGGTACTAAAACTGAGTCAACACCACCGGCATTGGGCCACAATCACACCGACGATAAATTAAACACTTAGCCAGTACTGGCCCGAGTCTGGGTACTGAAACAGAGACAACACCACCGGCATTGGGCCACAATCACACCGACGAGAAATGAAACACTTAGCCAGTACTGGCCCGAGTCTGGGTACTGAAACTGGGCCAACACCACCAGCATTAGGCCACAATCACACAGATGATGCCGGTGGTGTCGGCTGGCTCACTTTCGGTAAGCCGCTGCCAGAACACAGCCGAGTCAGCCGACACTCAGCCGCAATTTGCCCGATTGCGCCGGCTACCTGGGAAGTCGCCCTATAGCTCCCTGCCCATCCTGTCACGGCCAAGAAGGCCTTCCCTGAACTCTCTGCCCGGTTCTTTTCGGACAGATTGGCTCATTGAACCGTTCAAAAAGCCGATTCATTGGATCCTGACGTCATCAAGCAATAACGTCTCTATGCATTTCTTTTCTAACAACTCAATGCCATGTTGTATCAATGAAAAATTAAGTAATTTGTGTCAGCACATATTGAAACATTCAAAAAATAAAGTTATTTGTGTGAAAGCATATTGCTGATTATTGCCATATAATTCACTTAAGTTAATGGTGTTTGTGGTCACAGTTTCATTCGCGGATCCTTTATGTCAGATACGACTGACTGACCAATATTGACTAGCCTACAACTCGGATAAGATTCCTAAAAGTTTCACACCTACAGCACACATTACAGACATTGATGCACAAACGCGGATATATTCTACATGTCTACAGTATAAAGAATGAATAAACCAGTCTTATAAACTCCTTGATTTCCCTGAAGCAACTTTAAATATAATATGCATGCACAATAAACTATAGTAAAAATTTATTTACATCACTCGACAGAAAGGTTATTTTCAGGTTTTAATACAATGTAAATTAATAACAGTCATAATAAGCATATTTCCAGTATGCGCCTCAGGCTTGCACAGTATCGTCAACTCAATCAGAATCTTTGGTAATCCTCTGCAGACTTCGCCACGCTCATTTGGTTCTTGTTGAGTCCTCGGTAATTCTCGGCAAACTTCGACAGTTGGTTGAACCGGCTCAATCGGTTCTTTTTGAGTTGGACGTGGTACTTCGGGCTGTGCGTCCTGCGTCATCAACCCGGAACTAAAGTTCGATTCAGTTCGATTTGTGAACCAGCTCGACCGGTTACCTCCTGAGAACCAGCTCAAAAGAACGATTCGTTCAAGAACAGAACATCACTATTGCATATTTGTGTATGACCTTTGTCTGCCTTTGGATTACTTTGTGGATTACCCCTTCCCTAAAGATGTGAGCAATCATGTGGATGCAAATTAATAAATGACAACAGAATATGAATTAACCCTTTAATAATTGGTTAAAGAGAATTGCTTTAAGACCTTTAACTTTTTGTATTGACTGTACCCTTCACCTCTACACTGTGAACAATTGGTAACCTGCAATTAACAGGCTATTTTTACCTTATTTAACCCTTAAAAATAATTTTTGTTGGGATGAATTAACATATTTGGGTTGATTCAGCAATGTTAAATAATATTGAACATTCGTGTTCTAAAATGGAACATGAATTGGAACTCTAATGATGTTTCATTTCTGCCATTTCACAATGTTCCCATGTCTCCATGTTTCTAATTCTTTATAAGACAGATCACATTATCCTGTTCTCCCTCTACCTTTAGAAGTTGATAGAGACAGTCTTAAGAAACATGGTCTGAGCTGTTGACAAAAAAAACTCCAAACACCATCTCTAGGAACACTTGCTTGTAGTGAGCAGTAGTTCCGCGTACCTGTTTACCTTTGGTCTGCAAGCCAAGCCAACAGTTGAATTCAAAGGGCACAAGCTGTAGAGTGCTGATTTAACCCATAAAATGATTTTTTTTGGTATAAAAACGTATTTGGGTTTATTCAACAATGTTAATAATATTTTATACTTGAATAAAACCAGTTAATCTAGATTTTTTTTAGGTTACCATTTTCAGTGTACATGCAAAAATGTTGTCGCAGACAGTTTTCTTTCCATTTCTTTGTCTGACAAACAAAGCTGTGCACTTTAGTCATGATAAGATCTCCTTCTGCTCCAATGGAGTGAGGTCCGAAGAAACATGACCACCATGATATGGCACTGTTTCTCCTGTACAAATTCATCTTGTCCTCTTGACCTCTTGATGTACACACACACAGCACACAATCCTGGTGTTGGTCTTACTGTAAGAGCCATGAACTTAAACATGCTCCACATGTTCGAAAACATACACACAATAGAGTTGCTGAGCCTAGTTTCTGTGGTATGACCACGGTTTGTTTAGGCAGAAAATACATAAGCATTCTACATTCTCAATTATGCTTTTATCAGGTCATCAAACAGTGAAATGGTGATAATTCTTTCAGAACCAGTGCTGTACCAGGCACTGTAAGAGAAGGACTCACTGTTTACTCGGTGGGAATTGAGTGAGTCTGGACCTGCTCCCTGCTTTGGAAAAAAAGAAAGAGAGTGAAAGATGTAATACTATCAAAAAATAATGTGTCAGACTAATTGGCTTATAATTTTTGTTCTTGTTGAGTCCTCGGTAATCCTCGGCAAACTTCGACAGTTGGTTGAACCGGCTCAATCGGTTCTTTTTGAGTTGGACGTGGTACTTCGGGCTGTGCATCCTGCATCATCAACCCGGAACTAAAGTTCGATTCAGTTCGATTTGTGAACCAGCTCGACCGGTTACCTCCTGAGAACCAGCTCAAAAGAACGATTCGTTCAAGAACAGAACATCACTATTGCATATTTGTGTATGACCTTTGTCTGCCTTTGGATTACTTTGTGGATTACCCCTTCACTAAAGATGTGAGCAATCATGTGGATGCAAATTAATAAATGACAACAGAATATGAATTAACCCTTTAATAATTGGTTAAAGAGAATTGCTTTAAGACCTTTAACTTTTTGTATTGACTGTACCCTTCACCTCTACACTGTGAACAATTGGTAACCTGCAATTAACAGGCTATTTTTACCTTATTTAACCCTTAAAAATAATTTTTGTTGGGATGAATTAACATATTTGGGTTGATTCAGCAATGTTAAATAATATTGAACATTCGTGTTCTAAAATGGAACATGAATTGGAACTCTAATGATGTTTCATTTCTGCCATTTCACAATGTTCCCATGTCTCCATGTTTCTAATTCTTTATAAGACAGATCACATTATCCTGTTCTCCCTCTACCTTTAGAAGTTGATAGAGACAGTCTTAAGAAACATGGTCTGAGCTGTTGACAAAAAAAACTCCAAACACCATCTCTAGGAACACTTGCTTGTAGTGAGCAGTAGTTCCGCGTACCTGTTTACCTTTGGTCTGCAAGCCAAGCCAACAGTTGAATTCAAAGGGCACAAGCTGTAGAGTGCTGATTTAACCCATAAAATGATTTTTTTTGGTATAAAAACGTATTTGGGTTTATTCAACAATGTTAATAATATTTTATACTTGAATAAAACCAGTTAATCTAGATTTTTTTTAGGTTACCATTTTCAGTGTACATGCAAAAATGTTGTCGCAGACAGTTTTCTTTCCATTTCTTTGTCTGACAAACAAAGCTGTGCACTTTAGTCATGATAAGATCTCCTTCTGCTCCAATGGAGTGAGGTCCGAAGAAACATGACCACCATGATATGGCACTGTTTCTCCTGTACAAATTCATCTTGTCCTCTTGACCTCTTGATGTACACACACACAGCACACAATCCTGGTGTTGGTCTTACTGTAAGAGCCATGAACTTAAACATGCTCCACATGTTCGAAAACATACACACAATAGAGTTGCTGAGCCTAGTTTCTGTGGTATGACCACGGTTTGTTTAGGCAGAAAATACATAAGCATTCTACATTCTCAATTATGCTTTTATCAGGTCATCAAACAGTGAAATGGTGATAATTCTTTCAGAACCAGTGCTGTACCAGGCACTGTAAGAGAAGGACTCACTGTTTACTCGGTGGGAATTGAGTGAGTCTGGACCTGCTCCCTGCTTTGGAAAAAAAGAAAGAGAGTGAAAGATGTAATACTATCAAAAAATAATGTGTCAGACTAATTGGCTTATAATTTTTGTTCCTTCAACTCTTTTTTCTATTTCAAAAGAAGTGACCAGGCTGCAGTGCTACTGGGTTTTGTTGTGCTTGTTTTTCCAAAGGGATCCAAGGTCTTGAAGAAGCGGAACTTCAGAAAGGGAGTCATATCAGGCAGATCTGCTGTATGTATAATGGTAACATTGTGAAGTGGTTTTGAGAGGCGTGGGAGATCAGAGTTCTGTGCTGCAGACAGCACTTCCATGTAATGTCTCTACAGCACATACTGTATGCTGACTGTTAGAACTGCCATTCTTTAAAACAGGGTATTTTTAAAAAAATCAATACCTTGATTTTAGCACGTACACAGCCTGAGACAGGCGAGAATTTAAAAATGAAAACAATTTAAAGGGATAGTCCATTCATAAATTAAATCATTTATGTTAATTAACCATGTCATTCCAAACTTGCAAGACTGTGGAACACAAAAGGAAAAGTTAAACAGAATGCTCTTTTCCATACTATGCATGCATTTACCTTGGGCTCCTAAAAGGGAGAAGAAAAGAAAAAGTTCTCCATATCAGTTGTGCATTATATAATTTCACAAGATTAAAGCCAAATTACAGCTTTGTTTGATAAAGAGATCAAAATTTAAGTCATCATTTGGTGAAAATCTGCTATAGCTCTCAGTTCTCATTCATGCTTGATAATAACTTGATGCTTGAAGACGATTTGAAACAACATGTACAAGTAAATGACGAAATTTTAGAGTGAACGTTCTTTTTAACGAAGAGGATACGTACTCTTTTAATGTTTACACATTATTATTATTTTTACTTTTACTTTAACTGACAAACCATTAAAGAAGTCATTTTTTCAATCTCACATCAAGCAAAACATGGTATACTCACAAAATCAAAGAATGGGTATGACATAATTTCAAGAAAGAAATCTGAAAGAAAT